AAACTAACGCCTAACGTTACACTCTACATCGAGTGGCCCCTGGGACTTGTATAGAGTGAACGTTGCATTAAAAATATGTTTACAGAAATGTTTACGTCCACTGTATAATAAATCTTCACATTGATTAAGATGTTATTGTTGAAACTTGACTAAAGCATGGAATAATAATACAACACAAAATGTACTTAGAACAAAATGTATTGAAAGTGTACACAATATTTACATATAGTCTTTTGTATATTCTTGGGAAAACCGTTCCTGGAGAATGTGTTGTCTTAGTCGCAGTCGGCAGAGTCTCTGGATTGAATCTCTTGATTCCTCCCCCTCGTCTTCCCGGTACCAACCATATTTATATGGTCGGTACTCCACTATGAAAATTAGGTAGATCCTACCACAACAGTTATATAATACGAGTAGGGGACACTTCGACGTGGTGTAATGTTTGGCAGGCTTGTCTTACTAGATAAATTATGGCTGAGTAGTTTGTTCGGTCCTCACTAGTTGCCCCGTACTTTCGGCCTGATGTGTCTCATGTAAGCTCTGCATTGTAAATCGTTATATATTCTGATTAGGAATTAATTATTTTTCAAAAATAATGGGGAAAACTGATTTATTTTCATATCTCGAAACAAGGCTAGTTATTTTTCATCATCACCGATATGACCCTAAATGCTCACTAGTTGCGATGAATCGTTGCATTCTCAACAAGGCCTGCTTGCTTTCAGCGTGTATTGGGGCCCCGTTTCATTAGAGACAGCATTAGGAGTTTATATACGATTCGTCACTAAAGACGCTGAAAGACAAAAAAAAGTCAGTATCTTATATCGGTCCAGAAAGTGCTTAACCCTACCGGATATACTCTCTTTACAAGACGGCACCATATCTAGCCTGCAGCAGCCCAATCGCTTTTTCACCCAAACTTCGACGTATTTAAAAAGCTCTTAGGGAGCCTTCTAGGCGATTAAATGTTTTCCAAACAAGAACCCTTCTCACCATCGCAACGTCGCAAACATATTTTTATTTCTATTATATAATATTCTGACAAGTTATATTTCCTAATTTCACCAATTCTGACTTTTACAACGAAGACACATCATACCATCTACATAGGGGGTGGCAGAAAATTCTTGATCTTTTCATATTGCATTGGTAAAAAGCTAGATCCATTAGCGCATTCTTGTCTGTAATTGGTTTACGGCCACATCACGTTTTAACATTGGTTCCAGTAAGTTAAACAAGGTCGAACCTGATCAGTGACGGCTTGAGAATATTAGGTGTCGTAATGTTTGATTTGCGGGTGGGTATAAGGGATAATGGCTGTGAATTATTAATCGGAGAACCGCGTTCCAATTCCTGTTGGGTTCGTTATATTCAATTACGAGAAAATACCCTTGGATAAGGTATAAGTCCACTTCTTCTCTCCCAAGCTGTAGGTTAATTAGTATGACTTGTATCTCTGAACGATTATTATCTCCAAAAAATAAAATAAAAATAACGTACAAAATATTTAGATTTCAGTATTAAATAACAACTAAATTGATATATGCAGCAAAAGCAAAAACGACCAACTTATCTGTAATAAATTACCGATGTTCCTCCATATATTTACTTCATTTTTACTCAATCGGCTACTGTATGATCGGCATTCAGTTTAAGAGTGATTTATTTCCAATAGCAATATCTAATTTATTTACCTTTTGATGAAGCGATGTAAATTCTCTGATGGATTGTATATGGCATGGTGTGAAATATCAATTTTCAAAACGTACTTTTCTCATCAGTGCAAAGAAAAGCGACGTCCTTAGAACAATTTCAAAATTGTTATATTCGCGATAAGTAATTTTCAGAGTGAGAATATAATTATCGATTCTTGTAAATTTCATCGTTTTGGGGTTTCTGCACTTGTCTTCTAAAACAGTGAGACCGTATTTTATATCTTTTTACCTTCGATTATGTTAATCTCTTCCTAGTGAGACATTCCAAGTTTGCTTTTTTTTTTTATTTCAGATTCGCATTATACACGACTGAAGCAACAACGGCGCCCAGAAGTTGATTCGGTGTTAGCTAATGTTCAACGAGAGTACTCTGCATGTTCATAAGCCGCCGATAAACGGGATCGATCCTCAACTTTTGCATCATCAAAAAGAATTAAATGAACCAGCATTGTTATAAATATCTTAAATTTAACCGAAAATGTTATAAACATATAACGATTTGTTTTACGGGGCAGAAAATGACATTTACTTATGTCCAATATATGAATCATTGTTTCATTATTTACACTATACACACGCCGATATTTATCATCATCTTCGTTGTTAGTACAACGTTTAGGAATGTTGTCTCCTCCAGCCACCATCAGGTGATGTTGATCGACACCACAACCTATTTCAGCGTTTCTTTCCAATTCAGATCGACATCACTTCTATTTCAATGTTTTTCTTTTCTATTTCAGATAGACATTACATCTATTTCAGGGTTTCTTTCCATCTTAGATCGACATCAATTCTTCCATTTCAGGTTTCTTTCCATTTCAAATCGACGCCGTTTCTATTTCAGGGTTTCCATCCATTTGAGGTCGATATTATTTCAATTTCAGGGCTACTTTTGATTTCAGTGATTTTTTTCCTTTTCAGGTTTCTTTCCATTTCATCAATTTTTTTCTATTTCAGATCGGTATCAATTCTATTTCTGGAATCCATTTCATTTCAAACCGACATCATTTCTTACATTTCAGGGTTTATTTTCATTTCAGATCGTAATCAACTCTTTCATTTTAGAGTGTCTTTCAATTTCCGGGATTCTTTCAATTTCCGGAATTCCTTCCACTTCAGATCGACGTCACTTCTATTTTAGTGATGCTTTCTATTACAGAACGATATAATTTCTATCTCAGGATTTATTTGCATTTCAGATCGACATTAAATCTTTCATTTAATGTTTATTTTTTCTTCTATTTCAAATAGACATCATTTCTATTTCATGCTTTCTTCCCATTTCAGATCAGCGTCGATTCTATTCACATGTTTTCTTCCATTTCAGATTAAGATCAATTTTTTCGTTTCAGGTTTTTTTACGTTTCACTCTTTCTTTACATTTCAGATCGAAATCTTTTCGATTTTAGCGTTTATTTGCATTCCAGATCAACATCAATTTTTCTATTCCATTGTTTCTTTTCATTTCTGATCGACATCATTTCTTTTTTTAGGGTTACTTTCCATTTCAGATCAACGTCACATCTATTTCTAGGTTTCATTTCATTTCGCTGATTCTTTCCATTTCTACGTTTCTTTCTATTTTACGGTTTCATTCCATTTCAGATCTTCATCACTTCTATTTCATGCCTTCTTTGAATTGCAGGTCGACATCACGTCTACTTTACGGTTTCATTCCATTTCAGATCTTCATCACTTCTATTTCATGCCTTCTTTGAATTGCAGGTCGACATCACGTCTATTTTACGGTTTCATTCCATTTCAGATCGTTGTCAATTCTTCCATTTCAGGCTTTCTTTCCATTTCACATCGACATCAATTCTTTTTCGTGTGTGTTTTTTTTTTTTTTTGACGTCACCTCCAATACTAGGTTTCTTTCCATTTCCGTTAGACATCAATTCTTCCATTTCCGGAAACAAGAGATAAACCTCTCCTACTCTTCGAAAGGGCGGAGGTTATGAACCGAACGAATGGCGAACCACTTCAGTGAAACACTAAATGCGCATTTATACAACTAGTATCTGTAGAGTGTCTATACATTCTTGGTCGAAAATTACTCCTCCCTTGTCTATAAGAATTTATTTCTGACAACGCAACGACGCATGAAGTAAGAATTTGTTTTCTCTGACAACTCCAAGACGCATACAATATGAATAATACGGTAAATATTTTTGAAATCGCTTGGTCTCGTCTATCCGGCCCGATATATTTAATTGAACTTGCACCAATCGACTATTTCCTTTTTCGATCACTCAAAAGTCTTTCAATCGCAAAACTTTCCCGAATGAAAACAAGAGTCTAGAATTCGACGAAAACTTTTTTCACATCCAGCCTTGCGTAATTTTACTTATTAGATATTGAAGAGCGCGGTAACTATCAACAAGTCATCTTAAATAATGGTGCTTGCTTGATAAACACACACACACACACACACACACACACACACACACACACACACACACATATATATATATATATATATATATATATATATATATAGTGGGGGAACCAAATGTTCGTACTGATACAAATTTTTAATTTGTTGCATTTCCAACTAATGAATAAACATACTTTTCATATAAGTAACTGTACACAGATGCATAATAACTAAATATGCATAGAAAACAGAAAAAATATTTAATAGAAATAAATCCCATTTATCCACTTTAATGGGTGAAAAAATATTCGTACAATATATATATATATATATATATATATATATATATATATATATAAAAAATTTTCAACAAACCTACTATTGTTTTACAGGTTTTAACACTTATCTTCCGAAATATCGATATCAATTGACACATTTCCGACAACTTCTGAAATTTTCTACCACTGGCTCTACCGTTCGTCCATTCTGATCGAGTTTGCATAACTTCTGAACGTTTAAGCGTTTTCTCTTTTGCAAACTATTATTTTTTTATTCTGGTGTCTACTGAATCATCGGCCTTCATCGGTTCATCTCTCGTAGACATGCGCTGCGTTTTTCTTACAATTCCTTAGGTACTATGCCCTTATACGATCTTATCATTGATTCATGATTCACTTGGTAGATGACTCCCCACAGCTGACTGTCATTACTTTCTACATTAGACTCTATGACAACTGAGGCTATAGGAACAAAACTTTCCTGCTGTTTTAACCATAGCTAGAAGTGATCGATTCTTGCCTTTCTTAAGGGCATTTGTGCGTAAGTGAATGCAACGAAATCGACTGCAATTCGAACTCTGTTTTTTGATTTCTCATTCCGAACCGTTATCAGTTCCACCCCTCACACATCCAGCAGATGGTATCCCCAAGCGGTCACCCATCTTGGTACTGACCAAGCTTGACGTTGCTTATGTTCCATGATCGAACGAGAACTGGTGTTTTAGCGTGATATAGCCATAAGAATTTTTTCATTACACACTGAAACTATGAGGTAGATGGGCTTCCTTAGGCATATTCTATCTCCAAAAAGTAACATTTCTAATATAACACTGGATTTTTATGTCATTTTTTATCATTTCACCCCAGTTAAGGCAATAAAACCACAAGGACACAAGTAGTTACTGAGTGTGAGAGAATCAGAAAAAAATAGATAACGATAGACATTGCATTTAAATTTTTGAAAATCAAAGTTAAACTAGGAAACACAAAGCCAGAAGAGTTCCACAAGTGAGAAGTGCGATGGAAGATACTGTTAGGATCGAATTTAAAAATGATCAGACCTTACGGCCAATCTAGTATATACATATATTATATATAGCTGGCTACTCGTATATGAGGATAACCGTTTACTAGAATAGCTAGCTAATCCCTATTGCAGACGCCTGCTCAGACATTATTTAACACACACAGAGCCCACCTGTGTTTTATGCTGCAACTATGCTGAGCAGACGTTAGTTACAGTTTCTGGGAAAGAGCGTGTTATCTAGCGTGATCAACAATTTGAACAAGGCCTGCACGGCCACGATGACTTGTGATTTTGTGCTAGCACAGCTATCGACGCCCCCCAAGGGTTCCATTTACACAATTTCACTCGAAAGGCTTGAGTCAACCCGTGGTATGGTTTTCAGCCAGTTTCCAAAGGTATCGACCATGGTGAAATTTGAACCCGGGTCTCATGGTCAGAATGCAAATGTTCTAACCATTCGGCCACGTGCCCCCAAAAATCCAGTACGGCGTCATAAAGTCTAAGTACAATAGAGGAAAGCTATTCAGAACAATTACCATTGATGTATTTATAGAAAAGTCACAGGGAAGCTAGATTACGGCAGTGGGAAAGTGACTCAAAGCGAGATGCCAGGTACATTGCAAACATTGCAAATTCTTCTTTGGAATTTATCAAAGATATCGCAATATATAGCGGGAGCGTCAGACCAAATGCAGCTAATATTCAAATCAGGGACGAATGGTAGATTTATAAATATGTAAGATAGATTGTAGCGAGAAAAATTGTCTAGCAAGACTTAGAGAATCAACTTTCATCATTACATCTTTCCTCATAGCCAGTGGAGGTGATATTTTTATTGCTGAACTAGCCTCGCCAGCATTGACCAAATTCATTTGACCTATTCGAACATTTAGTGAAGAGCCTCTGGGTGTGCAGTTACTTTTTGGGGTAGAGGTACTTTTCCTCTACCATTTTCGCTTCTATCTTTCTAAATTTAAGGAGCACACTCGGATCATTCAAACGCTGGTGTTGTACATTTTTTTTCTTTCCGGGTAATGTCCCCACTGCAGACGTCTTCCCCGATGTAATATTTCGTTTTATGTTCTGTTGATTTTGTGTGTTGGATATCCTCTTCTGAACTTCCCAAAGAGAAGCACAACACCCTCTTGACTGCTACTAGTGGTGGTAGTACCGACAGGGGTGGATGTTCTAATGTGGAGGTAGGGAGGAGGGAGTATAATTAGCTTTAATCTTCCTGGAGGGGCGGCTCCACTCCTTTTTTACTCATGTTTTATCTTATCATCAAAGATTCTTCCACATCTCTGATCCAAATCCGATGTTCACGAGGAAGATGATAATCCAAACGATGTTCCTCTATATTGAACTCTTTGAATTCTTTGAATTTTTTGTCCTTTGACAAATTTGTTTTTTCCGTTTCCAGTTTCGCCATTTTTGGCGGCTTGGCCGGTTAATCTGTATACTCTTCACCATTGTTTTTCGCAGGATTGCGAATAGGGCTTTCACAGCCATGCTAATACCCTTGCTGCCAGATGTAGTTTATCGTCGTAGCGAGGACACCTCGTCTATTTGGACAAGGTAGGAATGGTTGAGACTCAATGGAACAAAGTGGAGCCGTTTTGCAAAAAAAGTATTAAAATTACAGGATCTTTTAGTAAGTTCTTTGTACACGGTAAACGTTAAAAATCCACATACGCTCGAATTAACAATAACGTTTTAATGAATATTCAATCGTGGTGGGAATGAATATTCATTGCCTATTTAAAAAATACAAATTTTACACATGCCGACAAATGGGGAAGGCTTGTCATCACTGGTTTAATTCTAACTTAAAGAGTCACATTCACCGATCCAAACATACTTTTAATAATCCTTTCAAGACAATACCACATATATAAAAAAAAAAAAATGAATCCATACCGCAATCACAAAAAACTACGTAGTTGTCTATCAAATCCGAAACTAACTTCTCGTACTTACAAACATGTGGAAAGGAGGACAATATTATAACTGATTTTAACTTATTTTTTTAATGGAATTCACCCCAAGCAAGGCAGTAAAGCCCCTAAGACACAATTGATTACTGTGTTTGAAAACAGAAAGCATTATTAATAACAACAGAGAAGTAATCGGTAGGTAACGATTGGCATTAGATTTAAATCACAAGAATAAAATAATCGCATGACATAAATGAAAATGCTGACATAGGATTCCCCCAGAGCTAAATGTGACAGAAAAATAAGTTAACCGATGCGGAGGTGACATGTAGAACAATTAAAATAAAACCACAACAAAAAATAAAAGCAAAAACACCAAATAATCCCACTGCTCCAGAGATCTATGAAAAATGGAATTAGAAAAAATAAAGGATCTTTCAGTATGTTGTTTGTATACGGTAATTGTAAGAAGATTCCACACGCGCTCGGATTCACAATAACTTTGCAATAAATAAAAAGCCAATGAATATTTAGTCATGTACAAATGCATAATGTGCTGCGATGACTAAAATGGGAATAGAAAACGCTGGTTTTCTCTTGTCCTATCTGAAACGAGCAAGTCTCACTCACTGACCTATTCATACAAATAATTTTCCATTCATTAGAACATCACATTTACTCTTACTAGTTGCTCAGTAAAATTCCAAGCGTAAAATTTTATATGTAGAATTTTTGGTAATATTAAACTTCAATGAATATATACAAGGAATAAGTATATAGAATATCAATAAAACCTCTGTACAATTTAAAAAAATATATTACATAGATAGTCGCTGAGATATCTTAATCAGTTTTGTTGTATATACTGAGTAGTTATCGTACTTTTAATACATTTGTATATTTTTAGTGTCCTGTTGATGAGAGAGGTACTGTTAAATGAACCTCTAACGTTTCCAGACCGTTGAATTGGAAGGAATAAAAAAAAAATGAAAAAATAAAAGATAATATTTATTTTTTATTTTATAATTCAAGTCGAAAAAATATATTCTGCCTGCTTTTCTGTACTGAATTTTCATCTCATTTCCAGAATGACTCGAAAGGGGAAGATTCAAATAGACTTTTCCGAAATGAATTTAAGGTAATCCCTAAACAATTTTCAGAATGAGTTGAAAAATAAAAAGATTTTTTTTTCAGCTTTGTCGATACGGAAGACATTGACAAAATCAGGATTCTATATTTTTTTTTATACACAAAGTTTTCAAGAAATATAACTAATGGATAATCGTTTCAATGAAAATAGATTTGATTACGCGTTTCGCCTTTCTAGGCTTCACTAGATAAAAACGATCGAACGAAATAATATATAGAAGAGGCCCGTTGGAACAGTTGGTATGGCGTTTGCCTGATAACGAAACTGTCCGGGTTTCAATTCTCGGTGTTGGATGCGCACTGCTGATGAATTCTAAATATAGGACAAAACGTCCAGTGCTTTCTGCATTCTGTTGAGGTTTCTTCTAGACTCGATAATTATCTCAAATCCTCCTTAATTTCTATCACTTGTATATCCTTGAACCGGCTTCTAATGTTCTGGATGGAGCGGCTTGGTGATAGTAGCCATGGCTCGTGGAGGCACAGTCCTATGGTTAAGAGAAACTCGGATGAGTTCCACCACGGTATATGTGATCGAGCGGCGCTATATTGAGTCAGATTCGCTACCTCTTCGTCACCGAGGCCTATTGGAACAGTTGGTATGACGTTTGTCTGATAACATAACTGTCCGGGTTTCAATTCTCGGTGTTGGATGCGTACTGCTGATGAATCCCAAATATAGGACGAAACATTCTGTTGAGGTTTCTTCTAGACTCAATGAATTACTTAATTATGATTATCTCATATCCCCCTAATTTCTATTATATATATATATATATATATATGATGGCAGTTGTAATAGGCTTAAAATCCTCTTTCCTAAGTAGCTGACGCGCGCCAATCTGTCATCCACCTTTAGCCGAATTTTGATGTATCGCTGATGCTTAAAGAAGATCAGTTGACAAGAGTAGAACTACTGACCTCCATGAAACTGCTTCTGTCTCATTGTCCACGCCATGACTCGCATAAAGCTCAAAAGGCACGTAGTGCTGATCTTTTTTTCCGTGACTGTAACATATTGACAGAAATGGAACTGGCTTCAAGACGAAAACTTCCCGCCCAAAATGCGGACCATCTTGTCTTCAATCAGAGCACGGCACCACGTGGCATGCATTCGGGTGGACAGCCCTGCCTCGCTGCGAAAAAAGCTTGCCAATCCTGGGGTCCTTTGCAAAACCATCCAGGTGGATGATGCCAAGTTGTTACTGAGGCATTTCACCCTGGGCGCCCAAGATCAAATAGAGCGAAACACCTGTTTCGGAAGGCCAAGCTCGTTGATCAGACAATCGCTGGCCGAACCACCCCAATTAATAGCAAATGATATAACGCCTTCAGAGATAACACTCTAGTGTCAATGAGGCGATCCATTACTAGTAAGTGTTAGCGCTGCACATTTTGATACTCCTGAATAAAAGGAGCATTCGGCTTGAGGCAATCGTGCCTTATCCGTATGTACCCTTTCAATGATCAGCGAGCGTCTTTCTTCCGGGATTTGCCATTAATATCCTTTTGTGAACATATCCGGGAAGTTCGTTTTCTGGCCTAAAATAGAAAAAAAGTAAAAATATACTGGCCTGTAAAACATCGAAACAAAATTTCAAAAACAACCAGTCAATCGAGTCGGGGATG